AAATAATGTTGAAAAGTGTTGAAAAGCAGTTAAGCAATTTCTTTTTAGGTTTTTTTTTTTGTATCTTATTGAACATAAAATTCGACAAAATATTGTATGCTGGTAGCGTTAAAAGTTAGATAAACTGAAACCATTGGATATGGACAACAACTATCTTTCTGAATGACAACGTCGTAAAACAGAAAGACTCTTACATTATTTATTATCGTTTGAGTAAAATCCATCAGTTACCGATAACAACTTGAAGCTCGTATCCAGTAGGTACGAGTAGGTATAGGAGGCACGGTAGTCTAGTGGTAGGACGCCGGGCTCGTGACTATAGGGTTGCGGGTTCGAGTCACGTCACGGCAATGTGTTGTATCTTTGAGCAAGATACTTTACTCCCCTTGTTCCAGTTTACTCAGCTGTAAATGAGTACGTGGTTGGGTAGTGCTAGAATTGTAGAATGCTACCTGTGAGCGCCTAAATGGCAGCACTTGCTAAATGCTCCCCAGCGAGTTGAAAAAGATATAAGCTGTTTGCAAAGGCCCTATAATCACGGATAATAATTTGTGAACCGCTTTGAGACGACCTACGAACTAGGTTGTAATAAAACGGTATATAAGAACCTCGAATTATTACAATTGTTATTATAAAGTATTTGTTTCCTATTTTGTCCTTGTCTTTTAACAACAACAACAACAACAACAACAAGGATTTATCATAAAAAAATAGTAATTTTGGAAATTCAAAAACATACTTTCAAATAAAGCCCGGTAAAGAGAAATGAGATATATCTGAAATACAACGACAATATTAGTATTCATATCAAATATTAACTAAATAAGATATTCCTGGAACAGGAGTTGGTTTATTTGATAAAATGCCTTAATTCCGAAACTCAATCGATTATTGTAAAAGGTTTCATGGAAAATTGATGTCAATTGCCAATTGTGTCAATCAATTCTAAAAATGCCATTCCCGCGCCAAACACCACACCGTGTTCAAACACTGTTGAACGCTCTAGATCTTGCTATCATCATAGGCTGTTAAATCCTAAATGTCTCTTTAGATATATTTTGTCAATCTTTAACGAAACACATGGTAATAAAACACAAATGTGAATCAATTTTTTTGGCAATTGAAAACCCTTTTGCTAATCGACGTGAGCTAATACAGCTCGTTGCCGTCTTGTGTCTGTCGTCCATCTGTAACTTTCCTTTGTATCCATTCTTCTGAAGAATCACAAGGCCAATCACCACCAAAGTCGGTTGTAAGTTTTCCTGTGTGAGAATGTTTCAGATTCGCGAACAGGAAGCGTTTGGCCCTTAAGGGGCAATAAAGGGTGTACAGATTGAGGTACCTACCTATTGTCTCCTCGTTAACCAACACTCAGATGATTACCATGTAGCAACCAAAGTCATACATGACCATCAAAGAAAGATTGTAATAAATTATTCATATTTGAATGTTTAAACACGCAAAACGAACTGAAACATAAAGAAGTCAGTAGCTTACTGGTTATAATTATAACAACAAACGGGTAAACAAATAAGCTTGATCGGTATTAAATGTTCACATAGGTTACATATTAAAACGTTCATATTTCATATGCTGAAACACAAAGAGACACAGAGCTATGATTTATAATCAGTTACTTAGGGGCACCAATGAGTGGTACTGAGACTAAGACAAACAATGACACAGGGCTGATATTTTATACCAATGGTCACAAGGGTTAAATCTCTTTAAACCTTCAACGATCATTGAATAAACAAAAGACCTAGGGTCAGGATATTTAGGCAGAAGCTTGCTATCAAAGAGTAAAAATAAGTTTGAAAATAAGAAATGGCCCTGCTTTGGGGTGCCATAGGTCAAAAATGACGAAACAGTCAAAGTCTTCTTTTACGATAGATGGCCTGCATCTTGCTGACACACAGGACAACATATATATAACATTTGTAAAGAACACAAAAGCCATGGGTCAAAATATCAGGCCAGTGATGATAGCATGCAGTGCTACAAAGTTTGAAACATGAATTAAGTGCTTCAAATAAGAAAAAAAATCATCTTGACCTAAATTGTCGTGTAGGTCCCATGGGTCGACTCTGGTTTAATACTGAAATGGCTTCTTCCGAAGAACCAAAACACATGGAGTCATGATATATGGCTATTAGTTTACTGCTGAAACGTAGTGCAATAAAGGTTAAGAAATGATGGACCATGATTCATTTTCAATGGCACAGGGGGTAAAAATTGTTAAAACACAAACACAACCTTTTTGCCCAATGCCGTGATATTTAGCCAAAAGCTTTCTGAAATGATTCTACACAATTTGTGAAAACTTATTTTAAATGCCACAGTGGTCTATTCCATCAAGGTGTTCAATCAGTATCAAAAGAACTAAGAACAGGCCTAGAGTAACTGTACTAAGACAGTACCTTGCTGAAAAAGAAACCCACTTAAAAACATGTGTTGTAAGGTCCATCGACTTCTTGTTTTCGTTACCAAAAGAGCATTACATTTCTGGCAGGCAGATTTACTGAACAAGTTTAGAACTATATCAAACACTATAGATTCCAATGCCTGAATGACTTAATTGGATTTCCATATCGGGAATTTTAAGTACACTGTGATATGCTCCCTGCTGATACAACGGCTGACATATAACACACCACGCTTCCATCGATAGCACTATACTGTTAGAATCTTCACAAGACTTGCAGTATGTGTAGTAGTCCCTGACTTAATCTGTTCCTACGGTAAGGATTTCGATTTTTGGTGAATAATCGTCGTTCAATATTGTTGACTTCATAACATATGAATAACCTTTCAAGAATAATTAAACTAAAAATTCAGAAATGAGTCTGTTATCGTTTTCCGATACACGTACATATATCTATCCTTATACATGATACTCACATAATTGTCCTTGGTTATTATAAATGAAAATAGTTTTAGCAAGTAAAACCAATAAAAAACAATTTTCTGACATCAGGCTGTGATCTTATAGGTGTAAATATAATTCTGTACAATTGGAAATTTTCACGTGTGAAAAAAATCGCGTTGTTTTCTTTTAATCTCATCTCAGAATAGCATTTTTTTGTATTGGCAATAGATCTGAAATCCATATATTCTTATTGTCTGTAATCTATACAATTCATAAATAAATATGTACAGTAACTCAACGCAAAACTCAACACAAAACTCAACGCGAAAAAACTGCGCAAATGTCCACTTCTACAGTATAGCGTCACGAAATACAACAAAACTGTAAGTCGAACAAAATAACAGATTACTACCAAAATCGTCATAAGAAGCATAACTCATAGTTAAAATATCATAGTTAGATTTGGAAACATAGAATATAATTAAAACACATATTTACCAAAGTTACCATAGGCAGCATAGCAAACAGTTAAAACATATGACTACAATAGTTATCATAGACAGCATAGCAAACAGTTAAAACAGGTGACTACAATAGTTGTCATAGACAGCATAACATACAGTTAAAACATATGACTACAATAGTTGTCATAGACAGCATAACATACAGTTAAAACAAATGACTACAATAGTTATCATAGACAGCTTAGTATACAGTTAAAACATATGACTACAATAGTTGTCATAGACAGCATAACATACAGTTAAAACATATTACTACAATAGTTATCATAGACAGCATAACATACAGTTTAAACAGATGACTACAATAGTTATCATAGACAGCATAGCATACATTTAAAACAGGTGACTACAATAGTTATCATAGACAGCATAACATACATGTACAGTTAAAACATATGACTACAATAGTTATCATAGACAGCATAACATACAGTTAAAAACATATGACTACAATATTTATCATAGACAGCATATCATACAGTTAAAAACATATGACTACAATATTTATCATAGACAGCATAGCATACAGTTATGAAGTCGATGGATATCATAGTTATTATGGGAAGCATAAAATGCAGTTATAACGTTTTTGCGTTAAACATAATGTTAAAGACAAATATATAAATGGGATACCCACAGAAGTATTAGTACTCAAATTTGTTAAATTATTCTGTAGTATATTATTGACCTCGCTAATTGGAAGCCAAACAAACTTTGCGAGGTTTTTCCATTTTTATCATTAAATCGCCAGAAGATTTAAAAATTCTGCAATATTCAGACTTACATTAACAAGAGAAGAACATTTGTCCATGCTTGTCAAGCGTTCGTGTTTGTGTGTGGAGCGTTGAGCAATTAACACCTCGCAACAGTGTTATAACTCAATAGGATAGGATTGGATTTAAGTCATTGTTTGCGTTGAGATCAAGTGATGAATGTTACTGTAAGGATACCCGTACCATTACCAAAATTTACAAAGAATTGGAAACGTTTTTTCCCGCCAAGACTACAGCTGTGATAAATCATTAATAAAAAGAAATACATACCTTTTAGGAATTGCTAAAAAAACAACCGGTGAAACAAACATAAAATAATCAGCAAAAATGTTCTGATTGTAAAATCAAATCAGCGGAGGCTACATTATACATATACACCGGGACTCGAACCCTGGACTTCAGATTATTCTAACCGACTGAGCAACCTGATCAATGGAGGTGTCCTACCCAAACTGTGCTACAGGATATCATAACAATCCGACAGTGGGACAGGGATCCTTAATACAAGAAAGAGTAAAAATCCATATAGTTAATATCATCGAAGTATAATGTATACCGCAACGTTTATTATTGTTCACGTTGTGATCGTCGGTATTTACCGTAATGGAAGAAATAACTGAAAACTGTTTGGAGGTGTAAATTTGTATTTGGTAAGCGTGGCTGTTGACGACACAGAAGCGATATTGGTAGGAAGAAATAGCATCCTACATCGCCATTGTATATAGGTAAGGTTAGAAGTGTCGCCTGTAACTGTCCTTTGCACGGATACTTTCTTTCTGTCAGAACTTTAAGTGAGAATGCGACTTGTTTTAGTTGTGGTGTTGTTAATGCAAGTCAAACGCTTGTAAGAGTCTGGTTGTTCGGAGTTGAGACTTTGTTTGCCCTACGGTTGGACGTCTGGTTGTTCGGAGTTGAGACTTTGTTTGCCCTACGGTTCGATGTCCGGCTGTTCGGAGTTGTTAATTTGTTTGCCCTACGGTTCGATGTCTGGTTGTTCGGAGTTGAGACTTTGTTTGCCCTACGGTTGAACATCTGGTTGTTTGGAGTTGATGCTTTGTTTGCCCTACGGCTCGATGTCTGGCTGTTCGGAGTTGAGACTTTGTTTGCCCTACGGCTCGATGTCTGGCTGTTCGGAGTCGAGACTTTGTTTGCCCTACGGTTCAATGGCTGGTTGTTCGGAGTTGGTACTTTGTTTGCCCTACGGTTCGATGTCTGGGTGTTCGGATTTGAGACTTTGTTTGCCCTACGGTTCGACGTCTGGTTGTTCGGAGTTGAGACTTTGTTTCCCCTACGGTTCGACGTCTGGCTGTTCGGAGTTGAGACTATGTTTCCCCTACGGTTAGACGTCTGGCTGTTAGGGGTTGAGACTTTGTTTGCCCTACGGTTCGACGTCTGACTGTTCGGAGTTGAGACTTTGTTTCCCCTACGGTTCGACGTCTGGCTGTTAGGAGTTGAGACTTTGTTTCCCCTACGGTTCGACGTCTGGCTGTTCGGAGTCGAGACTTTGTTTGCCCTACGGTTCGAAGTCTGGCTGTTCGGAGTTGAGACTTTGTTTGCCCTATGGTTCGATGTCTGGCTGTTCCGTGTTGATGCTTTGTTTGCCCTACGGTTCGACGTCTGGCTGTTCGGAGCTGAGACTTTGTTTCCCCTACGGTTAGACGTCTGTCTGTTAGGAGTTGAGACTTTGTTTGCCCTACGGTTGAACATCTGGTTGTTTGGAGTTGAGACTTTGTTTGCCCTACGGTTCAATGTCTGGTTGTTCGGAGGTGATACTTTGTTTGCCCTACGGTTCGATATCTGGCTGTTCGGAGTTGAGACTTTGTTTCCCCTACGGTTCGACGTCTGGCTGTTCGGAGTCGAGACTTTGTTTGCCCTACGGTTCGATGTCCGGCTGTTCGGAGTCGAGACTTTGTTTGCCCTACGGTTCGATGTCCGGCTGTTCGGAGTTGTTAATTTGTTTGCCCTGCGGTTCGATGTCTGGTTGTTCGGAGTTGATACTTTGTTTGCCCTCCGGTTCGATATCTGGCTGTTCGGAGTTGAGACTTTGTTTGCCCTACGGTTCGACGTCTGGCTGTTCGGAGTTGAGACTTTGTTTCCCCTACGGTTAGACGTCTGGCTGTTAGGAGTTGAGACTTTGTTTGCCCTACGGTTCGATGTCTGGCTGTTCGGAGTTGATACTTTGTTTGCCCTACGGTTCGATGTCTGGTTGTTCGGAGTTGATACTTTGTTTGCCCTACGGTTCGATATCTGGCTGTTCGGAGTTGATCCTTTGTTTGCCCTACGGTTCGATGTCTAGTTGTTCGGAGTTGAGACTTTGTTTGCCCTATGCGATGTCCGGCTGTTCGGAGTCGAGACTTTGTTTGCCCTACGGTTCAATGTCTGGTTGTTCGGAGTTGTTACTTTGTTTGCCCTACGGTTCGATGTCTGGTTGTTCGGAGTTGATACTTTGTTTGCCCTACGGTTCGATATCTGGCTGTTCGGAGTTGAGACTTTGTTTGTCCTACGGTTCGATGTCTGGCTGTTCGGAGTTGAGACTTTGTTTGCCCTACGGTTGGATGTCTGGCTGTTCGGAGTTGAGACTTAGTTTGCCCTTCGGTTGGACGTCTGGCTGTTCGGAGTTGAGACTTTGTTTGCCCTACGGTTCGCAATCTGGCTGATCGGAGTTGAGACTTTGTTTGGCCTACGGTTCGATGTCTGGCTGTTAGGAGTTGAGACTTTGTTTGCCCTGCGGTTAGATGTCTAGGTGTTCGGAGGTAAGACTTTGTTTGCCCTACACTTCGATGTCTGGCTGTTCCGTGTTGATGCTTTGTTTGCCCTACAGTTCGATGTCTGGCTGTTCGGATTTGAGACTTTGTTTGCCCTACACTTCGATGTCTGGCTGTTCCGTGTTGATGCTTTGTTTGCCCTAAAGTTCGATGTCTGGCTGTTCGGGGTTGAGACTTTGTTTGCCCTGCGGTTAGATGTCTAGGTGTTCGGAGTTAAGACTTTGTTTGCCCTACACTTCGATGTCTGGCTGTTCCGTGTTGATGCTTTGTTTGCCCTAAAGTTCGATGTCTGGCTGTTCGGGGTTGAGACTTTGTTTGCCCTACGTTTAGACGTCCGGCAGTTCGGAATTGAGACTTTGTTTGCCCTACTGTTAGACGTCTGGCTGATCGGAGTTGAGACTTTGTTTGCCCTACGGTTCAATGTCTGGCTGTTCGGAGTTGAGACTTTGTTTGCCCTACGTTTAGACGTCCGGCTGTTCGGAATTGAGACTTTGTTTGCCCTACGGTAGGATGTCTGGTTGTTCGGATTTGAGACTTTGTTTGCCCTACGGTTAGATATCTGGCTGTTCGGAGTTGAGACTTTGTTTGCCCTACGGTTAGATGTCTAGGTGTTCGGAGTTAAGACTTTGTTTGCCCTACACTTCGATGTCTGGCTGTTCCGTGTTGATGCTTTGTTTGCCCTACAGTTCGATGTCTGGCTGTTCGGAGTTGAGACTTTGTTTGTCCTACGGTTCGACGTCTGGCTGTTCCGTGTTGATGCTTTGTTTGCCCTACAGTTCGATGTCTGGCTGTTCGGAGTTGAGACTTTTTTTGTCCTACGGTTCGACGTCTGGCTGTTCCGTGTTGATGCTTTGTTTGCCCTAAAGTTCGATGTCTGGCTGTTCGGATTTGAGACTTTGTTTGCCCTACGGTTCGACGTCTGGCTGTTCGGAGTTGAGACTTTGTTTCCCTTACGGTTCGAGGTCTGGCTGTTCGGAGTTGAGTCTTTGTTTGCCCTACGGTTCGATGTCCGGCTGTTCGGAGTCGATACTTTGTTTGCCCTACGGTTCAATGTCTGGTTGTTCGGAGTTGATACTTTGTTTGCCCTACGGTTCGATGTCCGGCTGTTCGGAGTCGAGACTTTGTTTGCCCTACGGTCAGTGGCTGGTTGTTCGGAGTTGAGAATTTGTTTGCCCTACGGTCAGATACTTGGTTGTTCGGAGTTGAGACTTTGTTTGCCCTACGGTTGGACGTCTGGCTGTTCGGAGTCGAGACTTTGTTTGCCCTACGGTTCGATGGCTGGCTGTTCGGAGTCGAGACTTTGTTTGCCCTACGGTTCGATGTCTGGTTGTTCGGAGTTGAGAATTTGTTTGCCCTACGGTCAGATGCCTGGTTGTTCGGAGTTGAGACCTTGTTTGCCCTACGGTTCGACGTCTGGCTGTTCGGAGTTGAGACTTTGTTTGCCCTAAGGTTCGACGTCTGGTTGTTCGGAGTTGAGACTTTGTTTGCCCTACGGGGCGACGTCTGGCTGTTTGGAGTTGAGACTTTGTTTGCCCTACGGTTCGACGTCTGGTTGTTCGGAGTTGAGACTTTGTTTGCCCTACGGTTCGACGTCTGACTGTTCGGAATTGAGACTTTGTTTTCCCTACGGTTCGATGTCTGGTTGTTCGGAGTTGAGACTTTGTTTGCCCTATGGTTCGACGTCTGGCTGTTCGGAGTTGAGACATTGTTTGCCCTACGGTTCGATGTCTGGCTATTCCGTGTTGAGGCTTTGTTTGCCCTACAGTTCGATGTCTGTCTGTTCGGAGTTGAGACTTTGTTTGTCCTACGGTTCGATGTCTGGTTGTTCGGAGTTGAGACTTTGTTTGCCCTACGGTTCGATGTCTGGCTGTTCGGAGTTGAGACTTTGTTTGCCCTACGGTTCGATGTCCGGCTGTTCGGAGTCGAGACTTTGTTTCCCCTACGGTTGGACGTCTGGTTGTTCGGAGTTGAGACTTTGTTCGCCCTACGGTTCGATATCCGGCTGTTCGGAATTGAGACTTTGTTTCCCCTACGGTTCGATGTCTGGCTGTTCGGAGTTAAGACTTTGTTTGCCCTACGGTTGGACGTCTGGTTGTTCGGAGTTGAGACTTTGTTTGCCCTACGGTTCGATGTCCGGCTGTTCGGAGTCGAGACTTTGTTTGCCCTACGGTTAAATGTCTGGTTGTTTGGAGTTGATACTTTGTTTGCCCTACGGTTCGATATCTGGCTGTTCGGAGATGAGACTTTGTTTGTCCTACGGTTCGATGCCTGGTTGTTCGGAGTTGAGACTTTGTTTGCCCTACGGTTCGATGTCTGGCTGTTCGGAATTGAGACTTTGTTTGCCCTACGGTTCGATATCTCCGAATGTGTTTAGACGTAATTTTCTCTTTTGAGATCCTCAAGATGAAATGGAAAACTTTTTTCTGGCATGTACGTTACCTACATGTATACAGGAAACTGTAAGTGATTAAACATCGTACATAAGCAAACGATTTTGTCAATGTTTTTGTAATAATCATGTAAAACTGGTAGAAAGGAACCAATTATTATTTTATTCTAGGTCACGAATTGCCATTGATTCATGTCACTTTGACTATTATATCCAAAGACATGGTTAGTATACAGGATAAACTTCAAAAGTATCTCGACCGACCGAAAATCCATTCAATTAGCATTGTTTCCGAAAAGAAATCCATTTTCTAGGTTCTTCAAAACATTATGGGCGCGTTCGAATTGCAACTTTTGGGTTTGATCGATCCGCACGTTCATTGCACTGCAAATAGCTCTACAGTAAAACTTACGATAATCTCTGACAGTATCATTTAGAGAATTCAGATACCCACTAAGTCTATTGGTGTACAATTAAAAAAAAAATATGTTTTCGAAAATACACATATTAAACGAAAAACACTATAACTATCTTCTACTACATGTTCACCTATCCAGCACATTGTAACGCCATGGCAGATATAAGGATACAGAAGCCCTGGACTCCCACAGGAGCCGAGAATCAAATCATGAAGGTATCGATTTATCGTAAAAAAACCTTACAATATACATGTACCTATACGAATAGCAATCGTCAGAAATGTATTACTCTTTTTGCAATATCGTCATCATTATGCGTGCAACGGCGCACTTACGTTACAAATTGTTTTTAGGCAGACATAATGCATTCTTCATCACTTCAATAGTATCAGTGGGTATGAAATATCTATGTTATAAGACTTTCGCTTAATGCTTAACTAAAGGGCAAAAACTAGACCTCTTTATTTCTCCCTTTAGTCTTATTTTGAAAAGTGTTCTTTATTCACATATTCGAGTTAATTTCGTAGCAATACAGGAGGCACGGTCGTCTAGTGGTAGGACGCAGGTCTCACGACCGACGGGTTGCGGGTTCGAGTCACGTCACGGCACTGTGTTGTATCTTTGAGCAAAATACTTTACTCCGCTTGTTTCATTCTGCTCAGCTGTAAATGAGTATGTGGTTGGGCAATGCTAGAATTGTTAAATGCTAGCTGTGAGGGCCGAAACGGCAGCACCGGCTGTATGTGCCCCCATGGCTCTATAACCATGGATAATAATTTGTGAACCGCTTTGAGTCGACCTACGAACTAGGTTGTGATAAAGCGGTATTAAAAACCTCGATTTAATATTATTAGTAGTAATACGGACAGCATTTCACGACCTGTCCTATGAAAGGTAAAATTTTAGTGATGACGTCATATCTCAATATAAATGTTGCATATTCTGATATGTTTAGGTATATGATGTCCTTAAGCCGAAAGAATTTTCACATAAAGCAATCTTGCAATTTGCAAAAACGCAATTCGAAGGGTAAGTTGAAAAGTCGTTTTAGATTTATTTTTTTCATTTATTTATCATTTAATATGAGTGTTTATTTTATATATTGTTTTACAAAATATTTTCTATTTGAAGCAAAAAAGGCAATTCTTCCAAAAATTCAAAAACGGTCGGGTACGAAATGACCATTACATATGTTATATTTACGAAATGACCATTACATATGTTATATTTACGAAATGACCATTACATATGTTATATTTACGAAATGACCATTACATATGTTATATTTAACACTTGTGACCATTACATATGCTATATTTTCGAAATGACCATTACATATGTTATATTTAACACTTGTGACCATTACATATGTTATATTAACGAAATGACCATTACTTATGTTATATTTACGAAATGACCATTACATATGCTATATTGTCGAAATGACCATTACATATGTTATATTTAACACTTGTGACCATTACATATATTATATTTAACACTTGTGACCATTACATGTGTTATTTTTAACACTTGTGACAATTACATATGTTCTATTTACGAAATGACCATTACATATGTTATATTTAACACGTGTGACCATTACATATGACCATTACATATTAAATATAACATATGAAATTGTCATTACCGAAAATAACATATGTAATGGTCATTTCGTAAAATATGTTATTTTTAACACTTGTGACCATTACATATGTTATATTTACGAAATGACCATAACATATGTTATAGTTCACACTGGTGACCATTACATATGTTATATTTAACACTTGTGACCATTACATATGTTATGTTTAACACTTATGACCATTACATATGTTATATTTAACACTTGTGACCATTACATATGTTATATTTAACACTTGTGACCATTCCATATGTTATTTAACACTTGTGACCATTACATATGTTATGTTTAACACTTATGACCATTACATATGTTATATTTAACACTTCTGCCCATTACATATGTTATATTTACGAAATGACCATTACATATGTTATATTTACGAAATGCCCATAACATATGTTATAGTTCACACTGGTGAGCATTACATATGTTATATTTAACACTTGTGACCATTACATATGTTATATTTACGAAATGACCATTACATATGTTATATTTACGAAATGACCATATATGTAACGTTCCGGGGTCCGTACCCTAGTTACTTCTAAGGATCCCTGTGCTGTAAGCTTACTTATAACTATACTACAGTTTCAAATATATACAAATATGTGTTACTACCTTGTAACCAGCATACCTATTACCTAATGCTTAATACATGATATGAACAGAATAATTACTGCACGACTATAGAACTATTACCAAAGCTATCTGCTCTGTATCAATATAACACACTACACACACTACCGTACAATCCAGGCAGTACACAACTCGACTACCTAGTCGCGGCTAGCCCTAGTCACTATAGTTGCCCTATAGTCAGCTACCTAGCTATATGACCTAGTCGCGCCGATCACGACAGCCTTATACTAGTATACAACTACGGCACTGTCTAATGACCACGACTATCCCTAGTCACGACTAGCTCTAACGACTATACCTAGTCACGACTAGCCTGGTCGCGACTACCCCTAGTCACGACTAGCACTAACGACTATACCTAGTCACGACTAGCCTGGTCGCGACTAGCACTGCACAGCCTATGCCCGTGACACCTTCTGTCTAACGGTATCTCGCTACAGCACTCAATCGTTTATTTAATATATCTTCCAGGCAGTGTGTGGATCAAGGCAAGACTTATTCAGTCACTTCTATCTTTCCAACACAAAGCCGGTCTCGCATATATTAGGTACTTGCGATCTGTCACTGCTGTACACACGCCGAGATCAGAACAGAACTGGGCCGATTGACGCTGGATTCTGCCTATTTATACCCTCTTGCTATCTTAGCGACACCTAGCGGTGAGTGAGGTATAATCACCTGTACGTTTTTATTGTACCTCGAAAACTATCCGTCTTCTAAGCGTTCGAATTACGGAGACATAACACAAATGATTAACGCCAACAGATCAACGTATCTAACCTGAATAATATGCTAAATCAGCGAAGGTACATTCATCAAATTACCCACGCCTCCAAGAACAACGCGTCCTCGCGTTGTAGAAAAAAATACACTCTGATACTGAACTCTCCAAGATGTAATGACATCAATCAAAAATATACACTATGATTCCACACATAACTTTGTCATTGTCCCCGAATGAACAACCCAAGTCCTAATCTTTCATTCTTCTCTCTTGCCTACTGGCTCCTCGAACAACAAGTACACAGATTGAGAACTTCATCGAACTCGACGATCTCAATGGACTTCTCCCCCTCGGGGTATCTCGGCGTTTTGGTGACGGTACGCCTCGACTGCACAGGAAGGGTTTGTACGGCCACTGTCTTCATCAACGGTGCCTGCCTTACTCTGGAGGTACTGGCAACCGTAACCGCATGGGGTATCGTGTTCCTAATGTCTTTAGGGTGGAGCTTCTCTGCTTGATCTGGGGCTGCCCCAGTCGTCCGTGGACGTTTCAAAGAGATTGGCAGGGAAGGCTGCGTTCTCTTTCTAACGATCCTTCCAGATAGCAGTTCCTCATTGTCTTTCTCGACAACTTCACTGTCAGAGGACTCGATATCCTCATCTTCGGAGCTGGAAACAATCAAGTCCCCTGGGTCTTGATGCTGCCAGTCATCAACGGACGTTCCAGCTGCTTCCTCATCGCCAGCACGCTGGGAACTGCCTTGTCCCGTAACCGCCTCATGCCTCTTTTGATGACGTTTCAGGTACGCCTTCCTTGTCGTAATGAAGTCACACTGCTCACAACGCAAGGTGTTCTTCTCCATAGTGGCCAGTCCACAATTCATCAGGTGTGTCCTCATCTCCTCTCTATCCGCCGTCTTATGTGCACACATGGGACACTTCTGTACTGGGGTTTTCTTTGTGTTTACCATGATTCTCCTACAACAGCAAATGTTACCCTCATATAGTGCTAACACAAATAGTCTGATCTACCTAATATTCTGAAGTGTAACTAGAATGCCACTGAGGTGGTCGTCGAGTGCGTGTTTGCCTGGAGTTGTTCTCAAACGCTTTCTCTCCAATTCTGACTGAATCACTTTTATTCTCATCATTCTCCACCTCCATATGAACATCTTCCATCACACTCCCATTCATTTCTCTAGATGACGCAGCATCCCCTACTTTCAAGTAGCTGAAACAACTCTCATCGACCTGTGTTTGTCGATCTCTTAACCCTCTCGCTTCTTGGGCATTTTCACCACTCATGACCTGACCCTCCCGTAACTTCATACGGTCCGCATGGATGACCTGTGACTTCCCCTTGCGTCCGCAACGCACTCTGTAGGTGACGTCTGTCAACTTAGTCAGCACCTTGTACGGTCCTCTCCACCGACTTGATAACTTGTGACTTCGTCCCACCTTTACATTAGGAAAGAACACAAAAACTTCATTGCCTGGTTTGAAGTTCTGCCAGGACAGCTTGGAGTCATGATTCTTCTTCTGTCTCAACATGGCTCCTTTCACATGCTGTCTCACCATAAGATGGGCATCCTCCATCTTCTCTTTCAGCCGCCAAGCCCACATATTTTGGAGTATGACTTTGACATCCTGAGGCATTGAATACTGGATATCCAATGGGTGCTGGTCTCCCTGCCCAACATCATGAAGTTTGGGGTGTTGGCCGTTGTTTCATGTTCAGCTGATCTATAAGCCATAGTCACGTATGGTAAGTGCAGGTCCCAGTCTGTTTGTTGGTCATTAACAAAACCTTTTAACATGTTGACTAACGTTTTGTTAAATCGTTCGACCATTCCATCCGACTTTGGGTGGTATGGGGTCGTTCGTGTTTTCTTAATCTCCAAGAGCTTGCACATTTCCTGGAAAAGAGCACTCTCAAATTGAGAACCCTGGTCTGAATGAATGGTGCTGTACACCAAACCTACAAATCACTTCTTCAACCAGAATTCTTGCGACAGTCTTGGCTTCCATGTCTCTCATGGCGAAGCATTCAGTCCACTTGGTATAATAGTCTGATATCACCAGTATGAGTCTGTTTCCTTGGTCGGTTTGGGGTAATTTACAGAGGATGTCTATTCCTATTCGTTCCATAGGAAACCCTGCTTTGACCATTTGCATTGGCGCTCTTTTTGCTTTGGTAGGAGACTTTCCTCGACAACACGGTACACATCCAGCTACATATCGTTTGACATCGCCTTTAAGCCTAGGCCGGTAAAACGTTTGTCTAATCTTTGCTAGAGTTTTCTTCATTCCCAAGTGACCGGCTGTCTTGTTGTCATGCGTATGAGAAAGGACGGTCCTTCGTTCTTTTCGTGGTAGAACAACCTGTGGATTTCCGTTAGAACTTCCTCTGTATAATAGGTTGTCTTTGACAAACAAAGCCTCAAACTGCATCCATAATGATCGCACGGTTAAATATTCCTGCCAGCAATGGCGTTGAATGGTGGTCGTTTCTTGTCAAGCACCCAAGTTCTAACAAGTTGAATATCTTCATCTGCCTCTTGTTTCTGTGACAAAGACAGTTCTTCACTATCTGCTGGTAGATCTGGGGAAGCAATCTCGTTACATTCATTGGGGTTTTGTACACTCATAACCTGATCTGTGGTCTCAATCTTGGTTTCCCATTGTGGTTCGAACCCACGTTGCCTGCAGGGTAACCGGCTGAGACTATCATCATTCCGATGTTTGACTCCAGGTCGATGGACGATTGTCATTTCATATGAGCTCAGCACTTGTAGCCACCTAGCCATCTGTCCTTCGGGATCTTTGAAGTTCAGCAGCCAACGAAGCGAACTATGGTCTATCCTTACTGTGAACCTTCTTCCATACAGGTAATGGCGCAGGTACTTGGTGAAGTATACAACTGCCAACAGTTCCTTTCTGGTCACGCAATACCCTCGCTCTGCTTCAGTAAGAGTCCGACTGGCAAATGCTACTGGCCTCTCAACATCATCCACTATCTGAGACAGCACTGCGCCGATAGCGTCATTGCTCGCATCAGTATCTAGTATAAACTCCTTGGTAAAGTTTGGATGCGCAAGGACAGGTGCTTTTACCAACAACCTCTTAAGAGTCTCAAAGGCTTCCTGGCAAGAGGAACTCCACTCAAATGTTCGTCCTTTTTCTGTGAGCTTGTGAAGGCACTTCACAATTTTAGCAAAATCTTTAATGAACCTTCGATAATAGCTACAGAATCCCAGAAAAGATCGCAACTCTCGCACATTGACAGGAACAGGCCATTGCTCCACCGTTCTTGTTTTCGCAGGATCTGTTGAAACACCCGACTCTGAAATGACATGCCCTAGGTATAGAACCTCTTTTGCACATAGAAGACACTTCCTAGCTCTCAATTTAAACCCAGCAGCTAACAATCGGTCAAATACTTTTTCGAGATTGTCCATCATCTCCTCAAATGATCTTCCCACAATAATGACATCATCAAGGTATATGAGGCACACCTGCCACTGTAGTCCTGCCAGTACAGTCCCCGTTAATCGTTCAAATGTTGCTGGGGCTGAATTTAAACCAAAGGGCATAACTTGGAACTCGTACAACCCTGTGCGAGTGGCGAATGCGGTTTTGGGACGGTCCTCCGAATCCAACTCTACCTGCCAGTATCCAGAGTTCAGGTCTAGTGTCGAAAACCATGAACATCCAGCTAGTTGATCTAGTGTCTCGTCAATACGAGGCAGAGGCGTTAAGTCGTCTGTAATCTACGCAAAACCTGAGCTCCAAGGACTAGAGGATTTCTTTATACGTGTAATACCTCGGTCGAGCATGTTCTGCACTTGTTTGTCAACTTCTGGTCCCATATAGCCTGGGATACGTCGTAAAGGCTGTTTTATCGGACGAGCATCTCCTGTATTGATCTTATGCTTCACGACATCTTTTCGCCCCAAGTCCTCATCTGATGCAGCAAACAAACTTGAACCTTCATACTTTTGCGCTAGATGTCTCAGCTCCTCGTATTGTTGGCCGGTGAGGTTGGTTTTCGATGCTCCTAGTAGCTTAGCCAGGTCTTCTCTTAAGCTGTTATTTTGTGAGGCTGTGTTCCTTCTATTTCCTCTACTACACTCTGAATTGCACTAACTTGTGCTATGGAAGTGCCAGGATAGATCAACTTATCTTCCTCTGAGGTATTCATCATGCGTACAGGCACTGTAGCTGTATTGTCCACCAGTGAACGACCAATGATAGCACGGTCGCTCTTCAAAAAAGATTAAAATCCTTCCACTACTAAGGCGTTCCCCTGCATGGCCTTACCATCAGGCACACACACCTTCCCAGAGACTATGACCTCTGATTTTGCTGGTACTACAACCTTCTCAGTTGTACAGACTCGGAAACAACCCATAGTTCCCTCATATTTAGCCTCAACATGCACTCCATCCAAGGTAAGACAACCCTTGGCCATATCCAGAGTTACATTTCTCTCTATCATAACATCAAGACCTAGAATGCCATCTGTGGTGAGTTTCGCAACAACCGCTTCTACCAGTATGTTTGTGTCGTCCTCCAATCTGATGTTAAACCTCCCTTGTCCGAGGATTGGTAATTTGTCTCCACTTGCTGTCAAGACCTCTTTACTTATCTGCTTTAACTCGGGTCTAGCCGCCTGAGAAATGTGGTTATACAGATCTTCAGAAATCAAAGTTATGGTTGCCCCTGTATCGACCAACAACTTTGCCTTGGCACCATGTATGTCAGTCTTAATATACATGCCAGCTTCATGAACAGCTGATGAGACTCCTATATTAGCCTTCTGTTCAGTCTGTTTCCGTCTTCTCCGAGTTCTAACTCGCTTCGCCACTGGCTTATCTGCACCATTGTCAGTGGTTGCCTGATTTTTCAATTTTGGGCAATTCCTGCGAAAATGACCCTCCTCATTGCAATAGTAGCAAGTTTTTCGGCTAGTCTTGTCTTTATTTGGTCTTTGCTGACTTGAACTCCTATTGCTTCCTTTCAGCTTCATTATATCATCTTGTAAGGACTGTAGTTGCTGTTGTATGTCTTTTAATAAACTAGACATATCAGAATTCTGACTAGCTTTCTCTGTAGTCACATTAGCCTTCTCTGTAGTAGGACTGTCATCTGTGTTTGTGGCTCTCAGATGAGCTTTACCATCACTCCATTTCTTTTCAGCTCGATTGTAGGCCTCAAGTTCCACAGCTAACCGTATAGTGTCTGTTAGATTTTGAGGTATTCCTTGTTTTATCCTGATTCTCATGTCTGAATCAGCTAGAGCCTCAATGAATTGCTGCTTAGCCAAGGTATCACGCACATCACTGGGCACTGTCGGGTATGCCAGGTTTACTAGCCGTCTAATGGCTTGCCCCAACTCTGGCAGACTTTCTGCTGCTTTTTGTGGCCTCTCTAAGAGTTGAACCCGGTATAACTCCGTTTGGTTAGGAGGAGCAAAACGTTCTTCTAACGCGCTGACCAGGGACTTATAATCTTCTTGCTTTGATATGGCCAGGTCCTCAAGGATACCTTGTGCTTGACCTCTGAGTGCAACAGCCAAATATAGACCCTTCTCATAATCCGACCAGTTGTTGATACGGGAACAAGTCTCAAAATAAGATTTGTAGTCAACATATGACTCATGGTGGAACCATCATATGTTGCAGCTTTCACATGTCTGACCTTCCTTGGAGTGTTGCATGGTTTTCTGGTATCCTCTTGTTCTTCATCATCCTCACTACCGCTGTCATGCTCATATACTGGCCTCCTGTGACGTCTCTGAGAGTTCCTACGTGTCACCCAATCATGACTACCTCCATCAATGTCACCAACATAGTCAGGGAGCTGCTCTGTTCTTGAACGGGCTCTCTCTCTCTGGGGTGGTCCAGTTTCCTATCCGTATATGGCCTTGTAGTTGGAGACGGTTTTAGAATACCTTCACTCTTTGTCTGTAACCTAGACAACTCAGCCCTCATTTGTCTGATTTCATCCTCAACCTTATCAACAGCCATATCTGAGCATAGCTTGGGAACATCTATGTGTTGTGTATATTCCCTTCTAGATCTATCACTCGATGCAATACCAGAGTCCCTAGGTCTTTGATGTGTAGATTTTGAATAACTGACATGTCTTTTTATCACTGGTGTTAAAGGGCTTGCACGACTATGGTATGACACGTCCCTTCTCTGGCTAACAGTTTCCTCGTCATCCTCTAATGGACTGAGAATATCATCCTCTAAATAGCTAGCCATCTTCACAAACCAATACAAATAACTATAAGGTATGACTATAAAAACAGTACAGGTTTATTCTAATTAACACAAATTATAATGCAGAAACCTAACCACAGGGTTCCCACACGCTGCCACCAAAATTATGTAACGTTCCGGGGTCCGTACCCTAGTTACTTCTAAGGATCCCTGTGCTGTAAGCTTAATTATAACTATACTACAGTTGCAAATATATACAAATATGTGTTACTACCTTGTAACCAGCATACCTATTACCTAATGCTTAATACATGATATGAACAGAATAATTACTGCACGACTATAGAACTATTACCAAAGCTATCTGCTCTGTATCAATATAACACACTACACACACTACCGTACAATCCAGGCAGTACACAACTCGACTACCTAGTCGCGGCTAGCCCTAGTCACTATAGTTGCCCTATAGTCAGCTACCTAGCTATATGACCTAGTCGCGCCGATCACGACAGCCTTATACTAGTATACAACTACGGCACTCTCTAATGACCACGACTATCCCTAGTCACGACTAGCTCTAACGACTATACCTAGTCACGACTAGCCTGGTCGCGACTACCCCTAGTCACGACTAGCACCAACGACTATACCTAGTCACGACTAGCCTGGTCGCGACTAGCACTGCACAGCCTATGCCCGTGACACCTTCTGTCTAACGGTATCTCGCTACAGCACTCAATCGTTTATTTAATATATCTTCCAGGCAGTGTGTGGATCAAGGCAAGACTTATTCCGTCACTTCTATCTTTCCAACACAAAGCCGGCCTCGCATATATTAGGTACTTGCGGTCTGTCACTGCTGTACACACGCCGAAATCAGAACAGAACTGGGCCGATTGACGCTGGATTCTGCCTATTTATACCCTCTTGCTATCTTAGCGAAAACCTAGCGGTGAGTGAGGTATAATCACCTGAACGTTTTGATTGTACCTCGAAAACTATCTGTCTTCTAAGCGTTCGAATTACGGAGACATAACACAAATGATTAACGCCAACAGATCAACGTATCTAACCTGAATAATATGCTAAATCATCGAAGGTAGGATTACGATATGTACATTCATCACATATATACGAAATGACCATTACATATGCTTTATTTACGAAATGACCATTACATATGTTATATTTAACACTTGTGCGTTGATTGCTATCTCATTGTATTTGAAAACTGTTAAATATTTGAAAACTGTTAAAAAAAGATTCGGTATTATTTAGCAAATACATATTTACCTTTAATATCTTGACATATCTTTTGATATTTTTTTTGCCAGCATAATGAAATGATTAGCATAAAATAATAAATAAAAGAAATGAATAACAAATTATAGAAATTAAAGAGAAGTAGACCTACGATATCAGTAAATTGAACGTTAAAGTCACAAACTGAGAAATTTAACCAATATATTCTCCTAGGTAACCAACTCACAGAACGTTTATATTTAGAAAAGATTATGAGACATATGTCAAAGTTGATGAATTGTTTGTGGAAGATGTAATAATGACATGGTTTGATGATAAATAAGGCTGATGGCCCACCTCAAAGGCGTCATGTATCACGGTGATATAAATAGAGGATCTGACACTCGTGTTCATGTAATATTGAATTTATTGAACGAATTTATTAATTTCATCTGAAATTAATAAACGAGTTTAATAAATTCAATATGACATGAACACGAGTGTTAGATTATATTTAATATATAATTCGAGAAACACTCTTTTTCTTGACACGTCTCCTCTATATAAATTGTACCAATGGCTGACGAAAGGACGCATTACATGCATTTTGTTTGGAGCTCGCTGCGCCACAAAAAAATAGTTTCAGAAACTCCTTCCCGAGAACCTTTTCAATGAACAAACAATCATTTAGGGTTTTTTCATCAACCAATGTTTTAATAATTATCATAACAGCATTAATACTCATTTTTTTATACGAAAACCATTCAACGAATTGGCGTTGACGAAAATAGCAGTGACGTCACATATTTCGCACAACGGCGCGTGCAATCTCAAGGTAAAGGTCATCACAATACACATGGAAGTCTGCCCTTTTTAAAAGTTTACAGGGACTGGAGTGATTGTCACTCTCTATAGGCGCATTTATTTGGAGAGGGTTGTTGGTGAATGTGAACCTCGATGTTTCCGCCTGTCACTGAGCTAGAAAATATACTGTGGAATCCGCCATGAAACTGGAACACTGATGAAGTTGACCGGTTACACGTGTTCGCCATTGACTGTGTGTATGTCGGAGAAGTTCAAGTGGAATTTGAACATGCAGGTGTTGTATTATATAATAAATAACATTATAGATGACGCACCAAGACCAGTGGTATCAGGGTTCTTGCTGTTTGTGTTAACTACCTCTAAATGTTTACTAACAGGAGGTCGTTAGAATGACGATCTTACTTTACTCGCAATGGTACATCGCCATACTTTGCCTGATGAGTATTTCTTGGATGACATTAATCTTTCATATTATTCATATTTCCTTTTGCCATTTGTGATTGATGATGCTAAAAGACAGCGTGAAGGTTAAAATAATTTTGGACGTTGTACATTTTTTTTTTCGTATGACTTGTGTCAATATTTTTGAAGGACTATTAATCTTCCGGGCTGGTCAAAGTATCACTTTTCCAATACTTCTATAGGATTAATATAATCTATCACATTTGTTTTACCTACATAGATAACTTTCAACCGCGAGGATAGGCTTTTGGCGTATAGCACAAAGCTTTGCCGAGTGTATCACTTCAAAATTCTTATCCCGAGGGTTGAAACTTCTCGTTTGACATTACAGGGACATTATTGAATATATTTTAACAATAATTTCTTATCGTAAAAATAAATTGTATTTGTTAACCCAATGAATTGATTATATTCCGTTAGGTTTTGCAATAAACAGGAAGAAATTCGCAATCAAGCAAACGACGAATTCGTTTTTAATTTGATTGTGTACTAGTTTATATCTAGGATCAGAAACAAACTTGTACTTTATAGAATTTCTCCAGTGAAATAAAGCTATTTCATTGCAAGTAACATTGTTAAAATCCAATCTTGTACATATAGGTAATATTATAGTGATGTAAACATAGCGACATTATAAAACATCCACACAGATAGTAAGCTCCAACTAGTCTAGCCTTGTGAAGAATAGTTGAAAAGTCTAGCTAACCAGACAGAGGAGATGTTTTACAAATATATCACGGATTCCTGCAGAAAGCTGCTATGTTTACTTGCCTATAATAACGTAAGCGACGGAATAGATTGAATGCAATATCTTCCAACCAATTATGTGCATTCTCCCAGGAGAGTCTCGCTTTCCCGCATCTTCAAAGACGCATTGTTATTCTCGGAGGTTATTGGCGGTACAATATAAGTTACTTATCACGGTGTCTGTTCCGTGTCGCAGACGACCGATTTATGTGAGGAGCAACATACGAGTGGTAAAGAGTAATAACTTTAGGACACCTTCGGGACAGTCTAAATGTTTTCAGTGTTTTCTCAAAGACAGAAGACAGTGATTATTATTTTATATTCAAGGTTTTCTCCTGGCGCACCTACCATTTTACTTATTACCTTTCTTCTAACGTGTGGTTATTTACGGTTGTATTGGTTAATGGGCCGTTAAGTTTTACTACGTAAAGACGAAATATTAAAGTAAAAATTCGAAACAATATCCCCTTAGCGTCATCCACTTAGACAAATTAAAAATAACAAAAAGACCAACTATAAGAGATTCCCTTAGGTTATATAGGGGCGGGGTTAGAGAGTTTGTTTATAGTTGAGAGCAAGAACGTTAATCAAGGTAAATGGGGTATCAGTCAATGATGGGGGGGACGGGGCGTGGAGGGGAGTAACATCCTTGCAACAGCTTAGGTCGCATGAAGAGATTGTGGTTAGGGAGACTCCACTAACAGGAACGATCAGGGAAGTTAAAGATAAGATAACGATCCCAAGTCTTTAAATGGGTGCAGCAGATCAGTTTCTACGGTGTGTGATCAGTAGAAGGCACAGAGGGAAATGGCCGATTCTGATTGGTGGTCCCTCATCAGTCACCTCGTGATATACCATGAACGTGAGATACAGCAGGACTATTCTTTCTCCAAACCGGCAGGGGTTTGGGTCAAACAGAATAATAGGTGGACTGTCACGGTCCTATCCACTCCAGGGACTAATTTCCAGTCAAAGCACAGCCTTGCGTTTGATTGATCAATGCTTTGACACTGTATCGGGAAATCAGCTATTCTCCCTATCAAACTTTATTAATCAGGATTATTATGTTCCGTCGACAGTCTAGAATGATCCGTTGAGTAGGGACGAGACACGTTTTGAACGTGCAATTTTACGAGTTGCTTAAGGGATCTGCTATGATATTTGATATCACATGACATCAGAAATGAGTCCAGACGTTTTCGCGACTAAACATTACATACAACGTCTTAGATGACTTTTGGAGCATCACCCTGTTGTGCTAG